TAAAATTGTAAGTATTTCTGATCGTGATAGAAATCTAAACATTTTTTGTTCGTCTTTGCTCATCGGTTGCCTTCAGAAGGGATGGCAGAAGACGAGGTAGGAATATATTTGATTGTATGTATTATGAGTCTCTAATGTTTTGGGTGTCTATTGCAATTCCCCCCAAATACAAGGATTAGATTGAGAAATATTTGAAATTGAAGGACCTAATGAAAAATTTGGAAACCATTGTTTAATCTCCGATCTCCGATTACTTTATACCTCGTTTACTTACTATGAATTAAAATGTAACAGACGAAATGAAAATCGACATGAACTAAATATGTCGTAATGAATGTTCTTTATATTTAAATTGAACGTATTATTTAAATATTGGGGAGAAAATATTTATTATCATTATAATTAAAATAAAAATATTTTTGAAAATGTTTAATATATATATATATATTTTGGACGGACATTTTTTAATTATTATTAAATTAAAATTCCAACCAATAATGTCGAAGAATTCAACAAATATAGACGTGATTTTTAATATATAGAAATGTCAAATCTACGCCCGTAGATTTGATGAAAAAACGAACCTTCCAAACATCGACTAATATTAATTAGATTGCCATATAAAAGACCAGAATCGTCATTATATAAGACGAGAACTGCCCGTGTTAATACTCGTCACTCGCAAAACATATTTGTGAAGAATTACAAGTCGAGAGTGACCCTCGTCTTCATTTTAACGAAGCATTTGGTTTAGAAGACGAAGAAACCTATTATCGATTACTCGAGCCCAAAACTTCTTGTGAGTTTCCTTCTTCCCTCTCCTATTTTCAAAAGATTTTCCTTTCTTTTTCAACAAAAACACAAATGAAATGCAAGCAATTTTATCTTGCTCCCATTTTCAAATTTTGCCGGTATAAAGGATCGAAATCCATTTCAAAACCTTATTCGAGAGTTTGTAGTTTATTATCGGTTATACCAGGACTCCAGGGTCCTTCTCAACTTGGTTGTTGAAGTAAAAAGTCGGCCACGACCAGAAACTCTTGGATGGTCTAATAAGACTCTCCTGTAATCATTAATTTCTGTGTTGAATAAAGTTAGTAACTCTTTATTCATTCGAATAGTTCGGATCTTAATAGGAATATTATTTTTCCTCCCTGGAAGATTGACTATTTGTTGTTTCCTATTCCATGAGGTAGGAGGGTGTTCAATCAATTGAAGTGTAAAATAAAATTAATTTAAGTTGAAAGTAAAAATTAATATTTATAGTTTGATTCATAGATCCGTAATTTTATTTCGAAATGCAGGCGGCGGTGGCGGTGAGGTGTGGACGGCGTGCATGGATGATATGGCTGTTTGGCGTTGTTTGTAAAGAAAAATACAATGGGCACGGAAATGAAGAAGCTTTGAAACGTTGGCACAAAAAATTTGATGGATTTATTCGTATAATTACACAAAAATTTGTTGATGTTAGTTTTGGTTATTATTATTATACACCCGCCGCCAGGCTCCTCAGTCCTCGTCATCACTTCCCGGCGGCGGATCGGCGTTCAGATCGAACCCCACGCCGCCGGTCTTCTCCGGCCAGTCACCGTCGTCAGCAGTGGAGGGCTGGTTGAGATCAATATCCAGCCCTCTTCGCGACGCCGCCACTTCCTGAGCCACAGTCAGCAAAGTGGAAGCGAGCTGTTGCTGACAGCGGCGAATGTCGAGCTCTGCGGCGGTTGGTGGCGGAAGAGCCCCACGGTAGGTCCGTTCCGGGTGAGACCTCAAGTGCCCAAAAAGTGCTTTCCACGATTTGAACACTTTGTTGCAAGTCGCACATCTAGGCTCCCCTTTTGGAACCTCCGTCAGCTCCCCTTTCTTCTTTGCAGCTTTCACCTGCTGCTGCGGCTGCTGCTCCTCCTCCTCCTCTTCTCCGTCACCTCGTCCTCTCTTTTTCCCTGGCTCGCCATCGGAACTTCCTACGACGTTCTCGTACGACGTTCCGATGTCGAGAAGGGCATCCCGCCGGCTAGTGTCGGCGGCGGGAGGTACCAGTAGCGTGTCGGAGTAGGATGAGTGTCCGGTGGTGGGGTTAGGGTTATTATCGCGGTTGTGAGTTGGTGGAGGAGAAGTCGGCCCCGTCGGAGACCTTTCTCCGCCGTGGCATTGGTCGGAAGAGGTCTCCGGTGGGACATTGGTATTGGCATTCTTCTCCATGTCAAGAAGATGAAGGAAATGAAAGGATTGAGAATAGCAAAAGAGAAGCAATATGCGAGAGAGAACTATTGCTTTGTGGTGACTTTCTTCTTAGGGCTATGCATGTATTTATAGTGAAATTTTACAACATTTGCTTGAAAAAAATGCCATATGTTTCGATTTTCGGTATTAATGTTTTAACCAGTTGAGTTATGATCAAATTAACGATGTTCGAGTTCATTTGAAGTAAAATCGAACTAATACCGTGAATAATCAATGTTGTATTAATAGTGACAAGTTCTTAAACCAACGGAAAAACGTCTTATTCCAGCAAAGAACATATTTCTTTCCTCTTTAGTTCACTCAAAATCAAAGAATGAACGTAACCGGTCAATATGAAACAAACTGAACTAAACTAATCGATCTTGTCAAACTGAATTACAGCGAGAGTAAGACTGGTGCATAGTTTTGATTGCAGTGAACGCTCTCTTTCAGTGAAATTGATAGTCTCGTTTGTAGGCTTGATCACAAATCACATTGGCTCGAGATGCAGTGACAACTTCTAATCATTTTTGTTTGATTATTACGTTATATAAGACGTTTCTAACCTCTCATTAGTTTACTTTATTATTGTACGACTAATTTCAATAATTGATTATTAATGTAACAGCAAAGTTCACTGTAAACTGATCTTATCTGCTTTGACTCGTTATGTATCGAATTAAAGTGGACAATATCTGTTAGTAATGGGCTTGAACTGTTACAAATGGTATCAGAGCTAATTATTGGACGGTGTGTGACATTGGTCGGAATAGAGCTAGACTCTCTCTATAGTACACACATTTTAAAAATCGTGAGACGGAGAACGTTAAATAATAGGTTAATTTAAGTTATATAACCTAATAAAATTGAAATTAAATTCACAATAATTTCCACCGCCTACATAAAATAATGAACTCTAAAGTGTTTCTAAATTGAGGTATTTTTCATTTATTTTTATTTTTATTTTTAATTTACCAAAACGTTGTCGTTTTTTAATTCAAATTTTGTTTTAAATGGTAATAAAGTAAATTGAATTTCGGAGTTAATTAGGTTACTATAAAAGGCTACGTGCATAAGCATAATTTGTCAAATATTAGCTATATACTCCATTTTCAGTATTAATTTATTTTATTTTTGTCACTTTAACCTCAAAATTAAATTTCGTCCACCTAAATCTAAACTTGAATAAATAACAAAATACTACTTTTTAATTCGTTGATTTATATTTTGTAACATTTAATTTATAAATTAATTTTAGCTAATTTTTTAGAAAAAAAAAACAAATAATTCATTTAGTTATTATTTTTGTAGGCTTCTAATTTTGTAATGAAGAGATTAATAAATATTTAGAACAAATATTTTAATATTTGAAAATTTTTATTAGATGACAAATTGATATTTTATTTCTTTTAAATTAAATAAATTAGCCAAAACTGAATTTAATTTTCATTAATTAAAAAAATGTAACGTATTCATTTGTTTTCTCGATTGAATCAGATAAAGAGTGAAAATTCAAAATTCAAATTTTTTTGGTAGGGGTGAGTTAACCTTGGGTTGTTTTGGTTTTGAATATTTATTATTATTATTATTATTTATTATTTTATTTTTTTTTGTTGGTATTAGGAATTTGTTTTAAATGGCAATAAAATGATTATATATATTTTCCCTTTTACTGGTCGATATTTATTACCTTACTGTAAAAAGCAGCTATGTGAGTTTGTAAAATTTTGTCAATATACATTTTTTAAATTAGTACGTTAATAAAATGTTAAAAAAAAAAAAAAAAAAAAAAAACTTTTTAGTTCTTTTCTAAAAATTTAAATGACCAAAATAACCCAAATACAACGTTATTGTGGTAAATGACCTAAACCATGGGCCGAGCCGAAGTACATATAGATATGCACCTTACACCCCATGGCTCAATGAAACCCAAGAGATGTTCGTTGAAGGTAACTCAAATTTTATATTCATTGGTTACACTTTTACCTCACTTAAGCATTAGAGTGTATGTTTTGATCGGATCACTAAACCGTGACACTTGAACACAAGTGTACGTTGTCTCTCAAACAGTAAATAAAAAGTGAACGGAATTAACAAACATTGGTTGAGTTCAATGACGAGGTCAAAGTTATCCGCCACCATAGGACGTATAAAGTTTCTAAAACTTCATCTTCACCTTCGAAACCTAAACTTTATGTGTAATGACAAGTACCATGCTCGAGTTACGTGTTCTAAAATCACCTAAATATTTATGCATAAAGAACAATAATAATAAAAAGAAAAGAAAACCTACCATTAAAAAAAAAAAAAAAATCACCTAAATATTTATATTTAAATAAATTAAGAAAATACCTTGAGGTTGAACCTGGGCCTGCAAGCTCAAAGGTGAGGGCTGGACTATTCTGGTCTATTATAAAGCCCAATAATATATTGAGGTTCAGTAGGCTTGAACCTGGGCCTACAGGCTCAAAAGTTTGGGTTGGGCTCTATCCAGGTCTATTCTAAAGCCCAACAATGGGCTTGAACCTGGGCCTGTATGCTCAAAGATCTAGGCCTGGACTATCCTGGTTTATTCTAAAGCCCAACAATATCTTGAGGTCCAGTGGGCTTGCATATGGGCCTGCAGGCTCAAAGGTCTGGGCTGGACTATATCCTGCTCTATTGGGTTGGACTAATCCTGGTCTATTCTAAAGCCCGACAATATTTTGAGGTTCAGTGGGCTTGAACCTCGGCCTGCAGGCTCGGCCCAATGATGGTGTGTCTGGGGTTATTCGATTCGATTCTGCCGGTGGCGAATCGGATACAGACGGCGGTTGAATAGGGATTTCTCTTAAGACCGGCGGCGTAGGCCGAGTCACAGCCATCTCTGTAGTCTTTATTGATCCATATCAATCTTCTTGAGGTAAGATCATCGTATCTTTAAGTTCAAACAACGATCAGTTTTAAATTTGTATAAGGAATTCTGAAATGCCACCATAATATGGATTATTCATCATCATATCTTCGTCCTTAAAGGGAAGGGTTGGAGACTGACTGCAAAATGGCCAAGTTTTCGATTACGGATTGGAGATACGGGTACTTTTCCGATAGTAAATGGCAATCTGAAGCAGTTGATATCCATCACGTTGTTGTTCTTAGGAATAGGAGTAATGGAAAGGGTTTCCTGTTCTACATTCTTGCTGCCCTTGCTTTCTGTTTTTTCATACTCAAGGTAATTTGTCATTCTCATTTAATTTTTGATGTGTAGTTTGAAATTCAACAGTACAAAGTTCCTCGTTCTTGCTAATTTGGCTCTGATTTATGGATGTTCATGTCTGTTTCTTTTGTATCCCTGCTTATTTGCTTCCTGTATTCTAAATATGTTTGTGATTGTTTACTGTTCAATTTTATGGCTTTTGAATATCAGTTCTCTTCCACGTACTTACTTGAATAGGATCTGATTTTGTACGTATGTGTTCTTGAGTTCTAAATATGCCAATTTTATTGCAGGTCTCTTCTTTTAAACTATTGTTATTAATGCCTGTGTCCTTTCTTCGGATATTGTTAAGAAAACTTGCACCAAAAGATGATATTGATTGAACCGAACTGCCAAAATATTTGCATAAGCAGAAGTAATGGTATCAATGGATATGTGAGATCCCATGTTGGTTGGGAGGAGAACGAAACATTCTTTATAAATGTGTGGAAACCTCTCCCTAGTAGACGCGTTTTAAAAGTCTCGAGGGAAAACCTGGAGCCCAAAGAGGACAATATTTGCTAGCGGTGGGCTTAGGCCGTTATAGGATAGGATTACTTTTGATATTCTAACAGCACACTTTGAAATCTGTTGAAGTTTTTTTTTCAGTGCATGATCAATTGACTCTGGGTTTAACAGGGCCAATCGATCTTTGTTGTCTTATGGTGCTGGGTCTTGAATGTATTGTTTGCCAAGAAGCTGTTCAAGGGAACGGTTGAGAAAGGTGAGGAATTGGGGAAGTTCTGTCTCATACGTTATAATTAATGCAATATTGTGATCATTTGTTGAAATTTAAGTTCTTGCTCTCATCACTATCCTCTTGATGGATGGGGACGTCTAAATGTGCAGAATCTGTTATGGTTATGCCAAATTTTGGAGTCCAACTCGAAACTCACTATACTAGGTAACTTTTTCCTTCTGTAATTCAGTTTCATTGTCTTGAACTTTCTTGTTCAAGGCATCATATATAGCATTGGCTAGTGAAGTTTGGTAATCCTCTGGGATTTGATATCCTTAATTCTTCAATTATTGGGACTACCTCAAACCTTTGCGCTTCATGTTCCTGAATCTAATCAACGTATCGGTTCATTACGCACACATAGTCGTGCCTTCTGTATTAATTTTGCAGATTCTCCTAGGTTCTTATCTGTTCTTTGTCTCTTATTGTAGTGGAAAAGTCATCTGTCGATTCGTGCCAGTTGATAAAATTTTAAAACCAGTTCTCCATGAATGCGTGACTCCGGTTACTTGTTACTGGAGCCTGTCTTTGATTATACAAGGGGAAGACAAACTATTGCTGGTTTTCAAGGTAACTTAATTGTTTATTTAAGATTTCCTAGTCTGTCCCATGAGCTATATATGAAAATGATGGTAGCAGCGGGAAGTTTTCTTATCGCTCGTATCTTATTCGGTGGATCCCTCTTGTTCTTGTTCTTGTTTGACAGTAATAAAGAGGATATTTAAGTTTAAGAACGCTTACCTTTTTACTAAATAATTTTGAGTTTAGTTTCTATTGACATCTAGATTTCAAAATGTTACATTTTTACAAAACCGCACTTGTCAAAACGGTGAGTGATGATGAGCATTATATACTGTTGTGTTATACCAGCTGAAAATTATTCTTTCCCCTCTAGGAATTACGTCCACCGGTGAAAATGTTGGTGCCTATCTGGAAGGCTTTATGTGCTGGTAAAAACAAAGATGCCTGTTCATAAAGCGATCACCCATTAGCCATAGCTCCCAGCCATAGCCTTAATCATTCTTCTCTTCCATTAATTTTTGTTAATCGCAGGTACATGATATCATTATGGTCTCATTGCTTTTTATTATTATTATTATTTTTTTTCATTTTTTTGTTGAAATTATGAGTAGAAAAGAGAATGTGGGAGTTGGAACAGGCCTATAAGCTTTAATTCTTTGATATTTTAGTTGGATGTATATGGTCTTTCTGTAAGTTATGATCTTCAAATCTTTTGATACCTACCTTTCTTGCACTAAAAATAACACTAAGACAACTATTTCAATATGGAATCTCCTGTAAAATGGACTAATATCAAAGGAGCATATATTTGGGCTAATTAAATGGCCATTTTTCTCAACTTAGCTGCCTGTAACAATAGGGAGGGGTTTCATTATTCCAATGACCAATTTACAAGAGAAAAAAAGAAGTCATTTAAGGATTTATGCAGCTAGAGGGCAGACAACTGTTTGTAAGAAGAGTTGCAACCAAAATTCCAAGGAAAACTAAACTACAGAAACATTGCTCTTTTTCACAAATCATCAGACTAGTTGTATACATTATTCTCAATTATTCTCCTTGATGGAAAGGCAGCATTTACCATCAGCACTATGAACCTTAGGCTGAACCTACGTGCTGCAACATCCGTTCAATGCTCAGCTCATGTCGTCGCAGCCCATGCCACGTTCCATTCAAACCATTTTTATCTAATATTTCCATCTCCCTTATCTGCTTGTGCAATGCCTCCAAGTTCACGAGAGGTACTGTAGTTGGTCGTCCATGGGCGCACTGCACATTAAACATCTCACACTCATCAATTATGAGTTATTTTCTCCTCCTTCCTTCCTCCCACCAAAAGAAATATATATAAATATATATATCAGAACTTTGAAAACATGCTTGAAAACTTATTCGCTCACTTGGAAACACAGAGAAGTCTGCTTCAGTTCTTCAACAATAAGGGAACACTCTGAAGGTAACAAAGAGTCTCCAAACATAATTGCACCTAATCAAGTAATTTTATCAAAGAAAAAGTTTTCAGTGAAAAAGGATCAACATGCAGATACACACATAGCACTGAGCTACAGACCGTTGCCAGAGAAGTGAGACACTACATGATAGTCATTTCTTCAACAGCATTTATTACCCCCCCAAAAAAAAAAATTGTCATGTTACAGCTATGGACATCATCCGAAAAAGGTGCAAGTCAACCTGTTATTCACGACATTTAATTTCCCATGGTGAACGGTATTTACACACATCAAACAAGCTTAAGCATGTACCTCTGCAGGCCTTTGAATTAAGAACTCGAAGCACGGATGGCGGCATTGTTGATGAGCCATCTGTATCAGCAAGCTTTCGATCCAAGAAAAAAGTCTTAGCAAGCTTAATATATGCAGCTATAGCGACATTAGCAAAATTATTCCAGGTGTTTAGGGAACAATGTAACAGCTAAACAAAATTAATGGATGAACCAAGCAAAAATGGTTTTAAAGCGCAAAGTCCTCAGTTACCTGATCAAGAAACTCCAGTAGATCTGCATCAGATAAATTAACACCTAGTATGCAAGGTACCTGTGTCATACACATGAAATTTTATACAAACATAAAATAAAAATACATGAATTTTCAAATAAAAATATGAATTCGTTACAAATTTCAAGCACAAATTTGACAATTGCTATTGTATCACAATAAATGTTTTATTACAGTTGGCATGGTTTGGTTTCAAAGTTTAAATGCAATAATTATCGAAGCAAGGAAGATGGTGATTAACTGCCATTAGCGTGATGACCGTTTCCTGCTTGTATAGGATATTCAAATTCCTACACAGAGAACCAAATATTACTTTGGCAAACTTGAGCAGTACTGGCAAAGTAGACAAACCCCAAAGGAATTAAATATACCTTTGGAAGCATTTTGAATCTTGAGCATGAATATTACAGATCCAACCCCACTCTTTAACCTGATCACTATAGTTGTACAACAACTGGTACCCAATTTCAGGCAGCACCTGTAGTAAACAAACAGCAAGATTAATTTATCCCTTTCAATCAAAGCATGACAGATTGAGACCAGACAACATCAAACATAAACTTACCAGTTCATGTTCATCCTCCAGATAGGCTATTGTCTTTGCTTCACCAGACAACAACTGTGTATATACATATATTGCTTTATTAGAAATCATAGAGAATTATTCCATCAAATATATAATGTTTACCTTTTGACGAAGATCTTCAAGTCGGATTCTTTCATCTGCAGCATGCTGGAGAAAGCACCATTTAAACATCATTACCCCACCCCGTGCTTTAGAAAGACTTGTCAATTGGTGTGCACATATATGTTGGTATATGGGGTGCAAGAAAAATCACAAGGCATGAGTGTGCTGTATCCAAGTAATGTATCAAAGTACGCAGACAACCTAATCTACTTCTTCAGTAAAAAAAAAAAAGGAAACGAGACTGAAAGACCAAATAAGTTCTTTTTAAGATAAACACTTCATACTTGATTTTCCTTGTTCCAACAATCTTCAATGAGCACCTTTGTTGTTTCCACACTGGAACGTGAGTCAGGTGACACGCTATAAAATTGAAGAAAAAAAATTCCCCAATTGCTATAAAGTTGTTGATCTAGAATCAATTCAACTACTTCCGTTTCTACATTTGCATTCCTTGGATCGACAAAGCTAATGAAAGAAGAGATTGCCATCTTCCTCAGACCTCTCTAAGTAGATGCTATCTAAATGTTACCTAATGCCTCTTCTTATGTGGCATATCATAAACCCTTACACTTGGATATATTATCACACAACAAAACGAAGTTGGCAGGAAACCCACTCATACTAGGAGAACGTACTTCAAACCTAGTTCCTCAATGGCCTACTCCTTCGGGTACAAAGTGTTTGAAGGATGATTGCCTTTTTCGCTACCTTGTCATACATTAGACTCAAAGAGAATAGGAGTAGAAAGATTTTTAAGGGGTGGAGATATTGTATTTCACTTAAAACCTGAAGTGAATGAACCAGAAGGGAGTGAACTAACCTGATCAATAACAGCCAGTATTCCACCAGAAACAACTGGAATGAATTTCTTATCAAGCTGTAGAAGAACTTTGGCATCTTCAAGGAAATTCTTATCGATGGATTTGGGAACTAAGGAATTTCTGGCAAGAGATAGGAATCCTGAAGAGATATCAAGTATACTAACTTCATCTTCAAAAGCACGTGGCCCATCATTTCTCTGAAATCAATAAAGAAAAAGTATTAAATGTTACTCAAATAAATAAATCAATAAATAAAAATAGAAAAGCGAAGCCTCATATCAAACTATAGAAAACAAATAAACTTTCAAACTTAACTGTAGTCGGACAGCAATTTTTCCATTTGATCCATAAATATGACTCTTGAGTTTCCTTTGAGCATAATTCTGAAGGCGAAACAGGATCAAAACTATGCCATATAAATAGAATTGGAGGATATTTAAATTTTCGCTAATATGGCAACTGCAAAAAGAACTGAAATTTTATTTCCGCCAGTAAAGATGATGCTACCATCATATAAAACTCAATATTCAATAACAACAAAATTATGAACTAATGCAGCATGCTATATATTGTAAAGACTATTCTTGATGAGAAATTAACTTATTAACCACTAATATGTCAATGATAATAAAGATAAATCTACTAAATCTGCATGGAAAGAAATTACAGCACAATTTTCTTTCCATGTTTTTCTGATCACATAAAATCTTTCAATACCAATTCCCTCCCTAAGAGTTGAAATTTCGAATTCCAAATCCTTAAGAACAAAGAAATAATCAGTTTCATATACATAGTGCAGTTACCTAAAGCAGATGCAGTAACTTTAACATCGGATTGGAACTGCTTGGAAACTTTTCCTTCTTGTTTCTCTTTATTATTTCCCGTAATAGTAGGCATCTTTGTCATATCTGTTCTGGAAGAGATGAAAAGATGCATTGTATTCTAATAACAACTTCAATTTTAAATTGATAAGGGAAAGGAATGGATCTCTACCTAGTTCCCATCGATAAGTCATCAAGAGGACTTGGGTTAATATAAAGATTATTAGTACCAGAGAAATGTTTGGAATCTCTCAGCTGACCTAGTTCTGTACGTATTGGCACAGCATTAGAATTTCATCAATGACAATGCATTACTAGTAATGACTTCTTAAATGAAAATACCTAAATGAGGTGGGCTGTCAAGGAAGGCCGATGCCCTAAGCTTTTCATCTTTCCCTTGGTCCATGCAATAGAAATTTGTGGCATTAAACTTATCAGTTTTTCTTTGGTCAAGGCCATAGAAACCCGCGGCATTATGCTTTTCTTCCTTTCTTTGGTACAGGCAATAGAAACTAGTTTTTCTTTTGTAAGAAGGTGGAGCTGATTTGCATCTTCTACGCCTTTCAACAGAAACGTACTTCTGTTTAAAAGCTTTATGTCCAAACTTAAGCTCTGAGCTTCCATAAGCCTTTTCCCAATCTCTTCCAGGTAATCTCCAATTGGAAAGATACTTCTGACAGGAGTGCATATTAGGACTCACAGGAGAAGAATGTTCAAAATTATTAGATTTTTCAAGGGAAGTACTAAGGTCTTCTCTTATATCAAGAACATCATCAATTATCAGTTTACTATCTATACAGCTTGGTATGTAATTCTTTTTGGAACTTCTCAACATGATATCAGAATCAAATCCGCAGCCCTTATCCTCACAATCCACCAAATCCCTGAAGGGAGTCCTATCTCTAGATCTCCAGTTCCTTTCAACCCCATCCCTAACACTGAAGCAATCAACATCCCATTCTGAGGCTAATCTGGGATTTGGGGTCACGTGAACATCTGGGGAATTTCTAGTCTGATAACTTGAGAAAAACTTCTGCACGTGCTTGTCCAAATGACATGAGTATATATTTTCTTCAGCAAACTGTTGCCCAAAAAACAAGTAATCGACAACAGGAAAAAAAAAAAGGACAGAAGTTTTAGATCTTGAGAAATGCATAAATTGTTAGCTCTAGTAAAAGTCAGACAACAATACCTCAGCATGCAGTGAGTCTCCGGCATAAAAACCAGAACCCTGGATGTAACCGTCAAGCTTTAGAACATCAACTTCATCATCAGGGATTCCCTGCTTTTGGATTCTTTTGATGACATCATTTTGAATGTACAGTTTGTCACCAAGAATGGAAGTACTCTCAAGTTGAAAACTGCTTCCTGAGGTGCATCCCCGAAGGGAGGGTTTGTTACCTGTGAAGATATTGTCATCATAACTAAATTCATGAAAGTAAGAAGATGGTGTACTTTCAGCAGACCCATTGATCATATCGATATACACTTCAGAAGACTGACCTTTCAAGTCTGAACTGAAGATATTGTCCTCAACAATGTCATCACACCTCTTCGGAAAAGCCAGCCTTCTATCCAGAAAGGAGTCTTCAGATACAAAAATGTTATCAGGTACCCATGGATGCCTGTCACCATTTTGGACAGCTGTAGTTGAGCATTTTGCCAAGGGAGTACCCCATAATCCTGAGAAATGATCGGCGGCTTGGTTACCAAATTGCATCCTAGCTTGTTGGTGAACGTCATTCAATTCACTTGAACTTGTGTGTGAATTCTCACATGCCTTCTTTTCATGCAAACTATTGGACAAGATGTCATCATCTTTTGTAAGCATTGCTGACGGAGAAAACAAATCAATAAGGGAAGCCTGAGGGCTTCGCATTCTGCTCTTTTTCACAGATCGAATACTCTCTGGAGGGAAAAGTATAACATCCTCACGAAAATCTAAAAAGGAAAGATATTCAAAAATTAATTGAACCAGGCCATTTTTTGCAAGCTCACTCGGTATGCATATATTTTTTATGGGGAAGTGTCCTGTGAAGATAATAAATGGAGACATTTTCACCTTAACCGTCTTTTTAGGAGGCGGTGGAGTGGGCAACTCATGCAGCATAGATAAGACTAAATCATTTCATAAATTAAGGTGAGATTGGAGATGAAAGTTCAACTTAAAATACCTGAATTTGTTGATATTATGTTATCTTCATCCTTCCACAGCTGATCTCCTCCAACTATGGGGGTTGTATGGACCAAAGATTTTCCTACAAATTTAAAATGCAACTTCAAACAGTTTATATTAACACTCACTATGGTTTCAAAGATATGGCTAACTCCATACCACTACTATATTTTTCTTTCCAAAATTGTTGAATGGTCTCTTCAATGAAGGTAAGTATTGAAGCCCAGTCCTTGGGAAATGAAAAAGGAAGGACATGAGAAGGTGTTGGTTAGAAAAAGCGAAGGAAAGAATTCAATAGAACCATTTAATTGTGAATAAAAAAGTTATTCCCAAATAAATGAAGGAACAGAAGATAAATAAACGAACTGGTGTTTGGAGAACAAATAAAGAATTACCTTAAACTGAACAAAGGTCTTGGATGATTCAAATGTTAGGTCATAGAAAGATCCAGGGCAATCTAAATTTAAAATATAAGCAGGATTTGCTTGAAACCTGCTTCTCTTCCTGCTGTGACAGACTTGATCAGTCTGCGGACTCAGGCTTACAAATCTACTGGCCAGTTGATTAAGTAATTTATGAATTTGGCCCTTGCAAATGAATCGTCTGTTAATATCTGTCCTTGCTGAGGTCAAAACAATTTCATAAAATACTGGATCCTATCCACCCACCACAGATTTAAAGAATTCACAGAATGGTGTGGATACAGACATATTGAACAGCCTGCCATAAATTTTTTTTTTTAAAAAGAACACAAAAATTAATGAAATGTTGAACAGCAGAATTAGCCTTCTTTTATATCAGCCGAAAATAGTTATACCTTGATAGTAAACGTATCAAACGGACTGCATATATAACCAGAAAGCTTTAAGTCCCCATCACCGATTTTTAATTCACGGAGAGACCTGGAAATCTCGCTGCCAAAGCCACTTCTCAAAAGTGATAAAGGAGAAGGAGAGGGATTCGTGTAAAGAAGGATGCTCTCACTACAGGAAGAGATAAAATTGTAAGATAACTAACATAAAAGTTTTACATATTTCAACCTGAATTTAACATGGATATACCTTTCACTATCTACAATTTTGAAGGAAACTTTAGAATGCACAAGGGAAGTACGGACTACACATTTCTTGACTGCTTGCAAGACCTTCTTGGGGCTTCCAGTTTCATTACGCAAAATGAATTAGCACGTCAGTAAAATGCAATGATATAATATTTCATTTTCTTCTTTCTCCTCATAAGGACTGCCTTATCCATATGTCAACTCTTGAATCCTTCTATTTACTCAAGATTTTTGTTTATCATACCAAAAAAAAACAAAAACATAAACAAACAAACTAACTAATCTAAGAAAATAAAACCTGAATTGCATATGCTTCCTTCGAACTGGTTGGTTGTAAAATAGATCTCGAACAATAACTGCAAAAGAAAAAGACAAAAGAACTCTGATCGAGTATTTGCCTTCAGAAGTGTGTGCAAAAATAGAATATAACAAAGGAGAAGAAAAGAAATTATGTTTTCAAATGTAATTGCAAATAGCATGGATGTTTAAAATTATTTGGAGCATAATAGTAAGGATATACACCATAATAAAATCCACATAGTTTCATTTCTTTTTTCAATAATAGTTCATCAGAAAATTCACCGACACCAATAGTTGCCTTGCTACCATCTAAGAGAATATCAAACAGAAAAAAGACAAGAATCCCCCTCAACATAAATATCCATCAGCCCACCCCTGTATTCCACCCCCGCTCCCTCTTAGTACGAGGGTAATGGGTGGCTAATCAATACACTACACCAAGGTACAAATCATACAATCAAACATTATGTCTTACAAATATATGATGTTAATTTTGTGGATCCATACGCTTCATGACTACGGATCAGATAACTGAAAGGGTAACTACAAATTTTCTAAAACAACCAAAAAATGGATATACATCCCATAAAATTACGTTTTACCACATCAGTGTTTTTCATGAGGCTAATGGTCAGAACATAAATACAAAAGCAAAAGTACAACTATAAAAGCAGACCCCAAAGTAGACGACTTAGTCCAGATACAAAAGGGTGGAGCAGAAAAGGGTAAAAAATATATCTCCAAATAACTAGGACCTAATAAGATACCCTTACACTTCATCTAGACGACGACGACCACGACAACAACAACAACAACAAAAAAAATAATAATAATAATAAAAATAAAAATGAAGAAGAAAGATATAAAACAGTTAAGATGTTAAAAGTTTTGTCTAACTTGTTCATAGAAAGATATGTATATGTAGTTAGAATGTAAACTATTGCCCCTCCCAATGAAAATATCTGTCTCTGCCTTGGCAGATAATGGACCTGTTACCTGTAGTACCAACATCTTCCATATCATCATCAATTCCAAGATACAGGCACTTGCAACCCTGCAATAAAAAGTTAATTATTTTTAAAGGACAGCACAATGTGAAAATTGCACATATTGCTCCACAATTAAATAGCTGTAAGCTTCTGTGCCTTTATGACTTTACGATATCCATTTGCCCTCCCACATGCTTTGGTTATGATCTCCACCAACGATACATCTGAAATGGAAGCCAATGCCTCTCCTCGAAAGCCAAATGTTTTGCCTTTGGTATCCATGTCTATGAGATCATGGAATTTCGAAGTTGCTGCATATATAGTCATTGAAAAGCACAGCATAAACACACCAAGGTAGTAAATTCAAATACATTAAATATTTGCCAACTTGCTAACACGTCTATTTCCTTCAATAGAATTCTACTTTTGACCAACTTGTCTATAAGATAATCACATCAAGCAAGCCATAGCCATACCACCCAAACTTATTGCATGGTTCATTAAAACATCCTTGCACCTCTTATAAGAGATAGCTGTGAAAGCCCATTAGCAGGTTCAGCCCATTCTTGCACCAATTCCATTAGTTGAAAAGGCTAATCAATTTTGGGAAATATCATTGGAGTTAAAGAGTTATATTCAAAGAGGTTTGCAGGCCAAAACTTGCCCTTCCATTCGTTCCACTCAATCAGAGCACGTAATCATTATCTAACCCATCAAATTATTACACACTTACCAACACCATCCCCATCCCCCTGCAAGCCCAAGCATCTCAATTTAATTCTTGATTCCAAAATACACCGAAATGATGATGAAGTAAATACACACAGTACACAAAGAAAGCCAAGAAATTGAGATACTTACCATATCTTTCTCCTAGCAGGGCTAACCCATCCCGAGTAATACCAGATCCTACAAAAATATGACAAATTCACTGTAAAGTATGAACCCTGATAATATAGAAAGTAATGTAACAAGTAGCATACTGAGAAAATCACAAACCATTGTCCACTACTTTGACATAGGATGTCCCAATGCCAATGAAAATTGAAATCTGAATTGATACAATAGGCTGTAAGTAACATATATTAAGCCAGACAAATTACAACTAGAAGAAAATTTTGAACTTTAAAATTAGTTATAGATCATTTTTATTTGATAGAAGGGCAAATATTGTCCCTAAAATCTGATGGTTGTTTCACTTAGTCTCTAAATTTTAAAAGTTCTAATTACATCCTTGAACTTTTTATTTTGATTCTAGTAAGTTATGATCGTTAACATTGTTTGGCACATTGATTGAACTACTAATTGACTACCATGTGATGATTTCATACAACATGACATAAAAAAATAAAGCAGCAAGATAAAATAAAGGCAGACAAGCTAAAAAATTCAATAGGGCGAGTGCACATCGCAGATTTGTGTTACCCATTGACAAATCCTCACACTTTAGTTCAACTAACATGACAAGTAACAAAGTCAACAGCTGGAACTTATTAGAACCAAAAACAAAAATGTTGGAATATAAATGGAACGAAGAGTCATTAAATTTCTCTCTTTGATATCGAGAATCAATCAACCATAAAAGGAGTATTTTTTCACTTGTAGAAGAAACGTGCTCAGTGATGAGCGACGAAGACAAACTGTTATTTCATGGCTAGGCCTAATTCACAGTGCACAATTTCTAACTGTTATAGGATCAAGGTTGATGAATATCTCAGTTAAAATATTTAGTAATTCCCGAATAACTTACTTTTACATTGATAATTAGAAATAAAACACTTTACATTTCCAACTAGGAGAGTAGGCAACACCATGCCTCAGCATAAAACAAAATAATAAGATGGTCGATTAGACTCTCTACCTTTGACGCACCAGCATCCAAGCTATTATAAACAAGCTCTTCCACAACCTTCGTGGCATCATAGAGTATAACGCCAGCACGCACAGAACTACGAACAGACTTTGGCAAGGGCTTGATCATCCCCATCAAGAATTACGCTACATCACCAAGGAAAAACATCAAATGGGAAAAATGAAGAATAGGAGGAGAATTAGCAGATAAATATAATGATTAGTTGTTCATTACTTTCACCAAAACTCAATACATTATTCGTACTACTTTTTCTGAAAGTAGGTTCTAATGGCGAGAACACGTGCACAAATGATGCATATTTTACTGAACAGGTTTCAATTTCTAACTTCGTTATAACTCACCCGAGACAATCTCAGTCCTTAAAATGGCAAACCATGGACTTGGAAGCATGTGGAGATTGAACTTCCACACGGAGATAAAATATGGCGCGAAAACAACGAACTAAACAACCAATTCAATGCTTTTTTTCAGCATAAATTCATTCGCCAATTTCACAGGTCCTAATATTCGATTTACTTCACCGATTCACTCCTTTTCATGAGTGATAAACAGGTTTTCAGAAACAGAGCAGACGTGAAAGCGACAATGGCCAAAGAACTGCGATTTTCCGCAAAATTGAAAATAAACAAAAATGCCAATGAAAATTCGACTCGGTTAGCTCTCTTCGGCGGGTGGAGCTTAGGAAGATTCATAAAAAGCGATGAGTTCTTGGCGAAACTAGCCTTAAGAAAACCCTACATAGAAATCTTTTGTGTCTACAATCTTACTCTGTTTCTGTTAAAGTCCCAAAAGCTATTCTCACAAGTTAGTGCAGTTATCCACCGCCGAACTCTTGTTTTGATGAGGCGGTGCCAGCACAAATGACGACGGTTCCGACGCCTGAAACGTGGTCAGATAGAAGCCAACTTCCTTTCGAGACGAATATACTCCGCCGCAGTGGATGAGAAAATGGCCGTGTCGAGCGTTGAGTGCCGAGGGCCGGATTCAGAGCATGCCGCGTAATTAAGAAATTTCCCGGCGCAAGGACGGTGCTACATGGACGACATGTCGGTTCGAGTGATAAAAAATGTCTAAATCAATTTTTAAATTTTTTAAATTTTACATACAAATGTGAAAAAATTTATTTCTAATAGACACGTTTTAAAATCACGAGATTGACGACGTATATAACGAGTCAAAATAGACAATATCTACTAGCGGTGAGATTAGACTGATATAAGGATGTGAAAACATCTCCCTAAAAGACGTGTTTTAAAACCGTGAGGGTGACAATTATATGTAACAAGCAAAAATGTACAATATTTGCTAATAGGGGAGGGATTGAGCTTACCAGGGTTTGAAAAATCTCTCTCTAATAGACGCATTTTAAAAATGTGAGACTAATGATTATATGTAACGAGCGATGAATCATCAGAGTATAATACATATTAATATGTAAGATAGATAGGACCCTGGGGTAGGGATCCTATTTTTATAATCACACCTTACAACCAATCCAATTTTTCCTTTTATATTTATATTATTATTATTTAATAAATTTAATTAATTATTAGGACACGCATATGCATCATATTAAAACATGATCTTCAGTTTTTCTTTGGACCTGAATTTTCTTCTTCCCCTTCCCTTCTTCTTCCTCTTCTTCTGTCTCAAAACCCTAATTACACCTTTTTCCTTCTATAATTCCCTCCTCTACAGTGCTAGAGATCAGGTATTTACTTTGCTTTTTTCATCTCTATCTCTACGCTTTTCCTTTGCAATTATCTTAATTACTCTTGTGTTCTTCCTTTTTTTATTTTTTGTTTCCCTTCCCTTCAATCCACCTCTTTCAATTGCTGACACCATTTTGATGTTCTTGAATTCTCTCTATGTCGTTGTGTTTCTTGCGGAATTCGACCCCTTTTGTATTGGCTGCGTTTCTTGTTTCAATTTTTGTTTTATTTTCTGCATGTTTGTGTATTTTCGTTGTGTTCAGATTGCTTTATCTTAATTCTGATTGGGAATTGGATGTTCATATCGTTTTCTGATTCCGGAAAGGTGTGTACTGTGTCCATGGATGAAATGCAGTTCGTATTCATGCGCTGACTATGCCCTTAAAACCTTGGAAGATTGGCAATCCATTATTTGAGATCTTCCTCATCTAGCAGATATTGGCAGCTTCCAATTTAAATTTGTACTCTTGATTACTGAAGAAATGTTTGATTGGGATGTTATTTTATGGCTTCCGAGTTTTCTAATTGATGTATGAGTCTGATGGAATGTGCAGAGTGGAATTTGTGGTAGAATTAGAAGCTAATTTACTGTTCTCATAATTATTTTCAGCGAAAGAAATGTCAACTCAGTTTCTTGCCCTCGTGGAGAAACATTAGCGATTTATGTTTAAAGCTAGAATTTGGAAGGGGAAGAATGGAGGCTAACATCTGTGACGTCAATCACCTCGATTCCGATGTCCTTTTACCTCCAAGAAAGCGTCTTCTTGCTGGATTGAGAAAGAAAGGGGTCGATGGTGATGGTACTTTTAATGTGCCTCCAGTTGCCTCCACCTCTTGTTCTCCCCCTCCCTCTCCTTCCTATGGCTTCACATCTATTGAATTCAATATACGGCTCAACAATCTGTTGAGTGCTCATTCAAATACTAACCTATCGCCCGAGGAGATAGTGGAGGCCTCAAGATCAGCGGCAGCTGCAGCTGTGAAGGCTGCAGAGGCTGCCAGGACAGCAGCTGAAGAGAAGGCTGCGATTGCAGCAAAGGCTGTTGCAGCTGCAAAGAGTGCCATGGACTTGGTTGCCTCGATTTCTGAAGAAGCAGCCTATAAAGAAATAAAACAGAGAAAGAACAAGCTGAAGAAACATGTCCCAGTTCAGTTTCTGTATACAAAATATCAACCTCTCGAGAATACCAGGACAGATGAAGAGATGGCCCGCAAATTACATCGGGCAATTAATAGCTCCCCAAGAATTTTGAAGAATTCATCTGGTTCTGATGCTAGAGGCCACAAACATAAGAAGTTGAAAACTTCGCCTGGTTCTGAGAAAATTATGGTTTCCAATTGTGGCATCTCACAGGAGTCGGAACCTACTCCTACATGCAACGGGCATGCTAAAACTAACGAGGCTGACTCTGAATGTAGCTTTCAGGAAGCATACAAGCTCAAATCTGATGAGAAGACTATTAAATATGAGAAGAACAATCAGTCTCAGATGGATACTGGAGAATCTGAGACAAGTCAGAAGGAGAAAAAAACGTGCGATGATATTAGTGTCACTGGTAAGAAGAAGGGAAGAGTGAAGCTTAAAAAATTGTCGTTGAGTATTTGTTCTTTCAGGGATCAAAAAGCTCTCAAGGAAGACATGGACAATGGAAGTTCTCCAATATTGGCTGTGCAAAACACGGGGTCTCCCACACCCGAAAATGTCATTTTGCATTCTGTAGATAGCCCTAGCCCTACCCAAGGCGTGCTGCCAATAGATTCTACATCTTTATGGAAATGTCAGGAGTTCAAAGCTCCCCTTTCTGTCGAACAGAATAAAGTTATGCAGTCATGACCGGGAATGACATATGGTAAAAGGTTCCTGGCAATAGAAGTCGCGGTCGAGGTAGGATCCATGCAGCTTTTCTTATAGATACGGCGTTAGTCCATCTGTCTTCCTTTTGGTCCTGCCATCTTTTGTTTCACAATGAACTGGGATAGACCAATTGTAAATTTCATATTATGTGTTTGATTATTCTGCAGAGTTCAAAGGTATCCTTTACGATACACAGAGCTTGAAGTCCAAATAAGAGGGTTACAATAAACTGAATACTTGAACACTCCTTGTTTTACAGGAGGCATTTTTGTCTTGGTTTCTTTATATATGCTAAATATACTAAAAAGTAATCCCTATTGTATCTGTAGGTAAGATCTGTAGATGGTTGTTTTCATGGTCCTGCTACAGTTGTATCTATATATTACTTAACGAAGTCCTCCTCGTTTTTAGGAGTTGTAGATTGAAAGAAATTGAAGAAAACTTCAAATAATTGTGTTCTACTTCTGGAAAGAGTAAACCGTTTGCCTTTTGTTGGTCATCTAGTCTGATTATTGATTATCTGAGATTGAGATTGTATTTTCTAGTTCTTTTTTTCCCTTTAAGAAGAGGATGTTCTTTCCTCTTGTAGCTTTGTAATTGCTCTTAATATATTAATGAAAGCTTCCCATTTCGTTAATTGTTGTTCTTCTTTTAGTTGCAGCAGCTCTTCTCTGTTCTTATGTTGGCTATCACAGAGATGAGCTGCTGCAAAACTCTGTTACTGTTTGTAATGGGATTAGCTGGTTTTGTGGCTTGTTCTCTGCATTATCTCGAGCTCACGATATCTATTCTTGTGGATCGTAAAAATCAGGTTCAGGTTTAAGGTTTTGTCTTGACATCAGTTGGAGAGAGTCGATTCGAGTCCCTTTCTTTAACGGAATTCCCTTTTGTGGGTTTGGTTTTTTTAATGCCAGTATATTCTTTCGTTTTTGTTCTCAACAAAAGTTTGATTCTTCATAAGAAATCGAATAAAACTATATTGTTTACTAATGTTCTTGTTCGTAGGGGTCGAGACAAATGCATCAACAAACGACAAAGATTTGAGGTTTGTAACTCGACGTAAATATCTTAATTACGAATATTTGTCTAAAGTTTATTAGATTTACCTTTTTATATTGAATTTCCCCTGAATCAAGAACATGGGTTACTGAAACAATGCTTCAATTTCACCTCCTCTGGATCATGTAATCACTATTTTGTTTTATCTCTTTTTTAAATATAGTTTTTTGTAAAAAAAAAAAAAAAATACAAAATTGGTGAGAAAACAAACCAAAAAAAATACAAAAGAATTTGAAAACAAAAAATCAAGCCAAAATCCACATGAAGACTGCAGACCAAACAGCAAGAGCAAGAGCGGCTGCCAAATAAGTCCATAGCATGATAACAGAGCATTCCTCTTGACCAACGCCGAACAACTGAGTCATTGTGCCGATGGACATGGCCGGCGGCGTGGTGTACTGAACCATCAACAAGAAGTGGTAAAGAGGATCCGGCGGCAGAAATCCTAACGAGTTTGCTCCTTTCACAACCAATATCCCTATTGCAGGCAGTGCAAAGTACCGAACCACAATCACTCCGATGATCGTCGTCGGCTTCACCGCTGACGACCTTAGCCCTTGAATCAGGTTGCCGCCGAGTATCAGCATGGTGCATGGGATTGTCCCATCTCTGTTCATTGTACATCACCACAGCTCGTTTAGTAATGTTTTCATTTCTCATACATACGGTAACGATCTCTGGAAAGTATACATACCCGAGTAGTTGAACAGAATCTTGTATTACACGTAACGGAGCATTATCTCCAATTACGAGGTTCCTAAGCCATGTCACCGCTCCAAAAATGAATCCCACAATCTAATCACAAATATCAATTATATTAATCATTAATGATCACTATCCAATTCAAGCATAGCTCAACAGCTAAAATATCAGTCATTATCTCAAAAGTTATACTTACCGCTCCTAACGATGGAGGGGCCATTAACTCTTCAACAATGCTATGCAAAAATTCTACTGTTTTAGCCCAAATGGACGATGATTCCCGTTTCTCTAAGATGGCCACAGATTCTTGGGATTCCCTTGATGAGACTGAAACAGGAAGGCCTTCTTCTTCTCCACCTTGTTTGTGGAGAAGTCGAGTTTGCAAGTCGCCATTGGAGGTGTGGTTGGGTGCTTTCAAGTGCTCCTCCGGTGCTTCAAGTGCTTTCATTCGCAAAGACGACGTTTTCACAAGGTGAAAAGTGTAAGTCCACAGGTAAAACCCACCTAGCTGAAAGTTTTTACCCATCGAACACATTAGGTTAAACTACCACTAAACGAAACATATGAGCGTTAGAAATAACGACTCTCCACAATATAGTATGATATTGTCCACTTTGAGCATAAGCTCTCGTAGCATTGCTTTGGACTTCCCAAAAAGCCTCGTACCAAACTCAGGCCCACAACTAGCAGATATTGTCCTCTTTGGACTTGCCCGATTGGG